CACCCGTGCAAAAGCCGGTGTCTTTTGCCCCAAACAAATCCTCAACCTCAACACCGTTGCCGAGGTCTCCCCTATCCCCCCCACATACCGTAGTGCACTCAAAGATCCAAACTGGTACAATGCTATGAAGGATGAATATAATGCTTTGATTGCTAATAATACATGGGATTTAGTACCCCCCTCCCCCAACCAAAACATTATCTCTGGAAAATGGCTCTTCCGACACAAGCTTAGCCCCACAGGTGAACTGTCCAGGTATAAGGCACGTTGGGTTGTTCGTGGGTTCAATCAGCGCCATGGCATTGATTATGATGAGACTTTTAGCCCGGTGGTTAAGCCCGCAACCATACGCATTATCCTCAGTCTGGCAGTCTCTCGCGGGTGGCGGATTCACCAACTAGATGTCAAGAACGCCTTTCTTCATGGATCTCTCACAGAGACTGTCTACACAGCTCAACCATCTGGGTTTCAGGATCCTGATCGTCCTCACTATGTCTACAAACTGAATAAGGCGCTCTATGGGCTGAAACAAGCACCGCGGTCCTGGTACCAGCGTTTCACGGGTTTCCTTCTCTCTCTTGGATTTCGCGGGTGCAAGAGCGATACCTCCTTGTTCACTTATGGGCAAGGCTCACAGATGGCGTTCTTGCTTCTATATGTAGATGACATCATACTCACAGCCTCCACCTAGACACTTCTTCAGTCTATCATTCAGCGACTGAAGGGCGAGTTTGCTATGACAGATATGGGGGATCTTCATTTTTTTCTGGGGATCAATGTCCAGCGCACGTCTCATGGGTTATTTCTCACACAGACTCAGTTCCTCTACGACATTCTTGAGCGCGCCGGTATGGTTTCGTGCAAATCTGCATCTACCCCCGTTGACACTCGTGGGAAAATTTCGGCCTCCGCAGGTCCACCAGCACTAGATCCTACTTTGTACAGGTCCATTGTAGGGGCACTACAGTATCTTACCTTCACCCGTCCTGACATCACATATGCCGTCCAGCAGCTGTGTCTCTTTCTTCATGATCCACGCCTCCCACATGTCACAGCAATGAAACGGGTGCTGCGCTATCTTCATGGGACACCCTCCCACGGTATTTCCATCTCTCCATCCCCCACAGACTTTATGCGGTCCTACTCGGATGCTGACTGGGCCGGCTGTCCCGATACTCGCCGATCCACCACCGGTTACTGCATTTTTCTCGGTGACAATCTCATCTCCTGGTCCACCAAGCGTCAGCAAACCACGTCACGATCCAGTGCCGAAGCAGAGTACAGGGCCATAGCGAATGCAGTCGCGGAAGTCAACTGGGTGCGTAACTTACTTCAGGAACTCCAGCAACCTCTCAGCCGGTCCACCCTGGTGTTCTATGACAATGTCAGTGCCGTCTACCTTTCAGCCAATCCTGTCAAACACCAGCGCACTAAACACATTGAGGTTGATATACACTTTGTCCGAGATAAGGTGGCTCTCGGACACATACGAGTTCTCCATGTTCCTTCCTCGTTGCAGTATGCAGACATTTTTACAAAGGGGCTCCCAACCATGATCTTCACAGAGTTCCGTGACAGCCTGGGAATCCGGAAGTCGTTACCAGTATCGTTGGGAGCATGTTAAATATAGTGTTTCTATATTTAATATATTGTGTAGTTATTATTGTATATTCTAGTTACCATGTGTATAGGTTACCTTAATTATATGTTTCCTAACATAACTAGGAATCTCCTAGTATATATATATCTTGTATTATACACATTATAATTATTGGAAATTATTCAATCTTTCAGTTT